GACTTCAAATGTGATATTGACATTCGAACTTCTTGAGCTCCCAATAACTCGATTTCTGTCAATGTTTCTGTTAGACAGTAAAGTACTGTGACTAACTTGCGTTTGAACGTTATTTGCGTTTGAACGTGAACCCATTTTACTGCATCTAGTTCTAATACAATATTGATCTACCTAGAAGTCGTTTCACAAAATTTTCATGAGCTACACTTTTATAGCTCTTGATATCTAGTTTCTACTATCAAAATTTTAAATCAATCCAAGTTCAAAATAAAAAGTTATGAATACAACTAAGACAACATCATACTATCCCCAACAAACTTTAACCCAAATTTGCCACTCAAATACAAAGCACTTCTACTACACCATATTTTCTTATTCTTACATCATCTTATACTCATTCCACAAAGGCACAAAATATACATTATTATAAATACATGGGGGTTTACATTACCATGACCATGATAGGATTGATATTGTTTGGTGTCTTGAGGAGCAAAAGGAAAAACACCACGTTGAGCTAAATTGACAGTGGGAAGAGTATCCGAGGCTGCAATATCTTGAGCAAGACGGAATTCTTCAGAAATAAAATGACCTAGTAGATTCACAAGGGTCAAAGAATCCATTCATTTATTTATTTTATTATTTTTACAATTAGTAACTACCATAATTAAAAACCAATTTTACAACTTATATTAATTTTTAATATAATATTAAAAAATAATTTTTGGTACCATAGACTTATCCATTTTTTTTGTATTACCAAGTTTGGCATTTTCTTTTAGGGTGGGGCTATACCCACCCCACAAATCTCTATTTCCATCCCATTTAATTTTTCATTATCAAATTACTAAATCTATCATTTTTATACCCATTCCATTAGTAACTAAGGTCACCTCATGCTACATACACCGCTTTTAATAAGTAAACTCATTTTATATTTTGTTATAATTAGAGTTTCATTTTCTATCTTCTCATGCATTTATAAAAATACTTTTTCAATATAATTTTTTTTCAAGGAGATACATGTTAATATTACTTCTTAATTTAATTATATATTTGATTTCATGTTTGTTATATAAATTTTTATTATTTTCGGTATGTTTTGATATCTCTGTCAAATTTAATAATTTTTTATCTAGAATTTATATGTGTGTATATATATGTATGGTTTTAGATTATTTGTTCTTTTTTATCTTGTTAAGGTTTTGCCCCTATTCTTGTTATTTTTGTTTTGTTCGATTTATATTTGTACTTGATGCTTATTTTTTTTCATATTCAGTTTTGCATCTTGTAATTTTTTTGTTATTTTAATCTTTGCTTGATTTTTTTTCTCATTCTTGTTTCAGTTTACTTCTTTCTTTCTGTTTTTTTCTTGTTTTGTTCTTTTCATTTTTTTTTTGTTTCGGTCTACTTCTTTCTCTCATTTTTTTTCTTTTTTTCTTGTTTTAGCATGCTTGGTTTTTTTTTTTTTCACTTGTTTCGTTTTTAGTTGTTTTTTTTCTTGTTTCAGTTTTGCTTGGATATTTTTTTTCTTGTTTCGTAAATATATTTATGTATTCAAACTAATTGTCTTCTTTCATTATTTTTTTCTTACAATGACTTCTTTCATTAAAAAGTTGTATATAGAATGAGTGAACTTAATTATTAATAGGGTGTATGTAGCAAGGCGTAGGCTTAGTTACTAATAAGATTGGTATAGAAGGAGTGAATTTAATAATTTTATAATAAAAAATTAAATAGGATGGGAATAGATTCACTTTTTTTTTTATTACTTTTCTATTACTGTTGAAAATGATTATGTATTATGATCGTTTTAAGAAAAATGTTGTGTCCACCAAAATTTTTACCAAATTTTAAATCCCAAGTTATGTGACATATTAATAGTCATTGAATTGTTAGTTAAAGTTTATGGGACTCATTGATTTTATGATTCACGACGATTTAAAATTCGCATCTTAGTAAAAATTTTGATAGACGTAACATTATTGTTGTTTTAAATTGTCCATTAGGCTCGGCCCAATGTGTAATTTGTTGAGGCCCATTAAAGCCGTCAATTGGTGGACTAGGCCAACCCAGTTCTGATGATACCAATCCTTGTAATTGTGGTCCAAAAAATGAAATCATTCGGTAAAATTAATAATGGTGTAAGAATAAACAGTGCATTGCTTTATAAAAAATAATCTGATTGCTTTTTTTTTTTTTGATCAAAACACAAAGATATTCATTTCATTAAGTAGGAAAGTTTTGGTTACAGTCAAGCAAAATAAAAGTCATATGCTCTTGCGGGGGTAAGCTAACCCAATCCAACGGCAGTGAACTGTTCATTAAAGCGACTGCCATCCAGTAAGCCGCCCTATTACGGGCTCTTGATGAACATGATTTGTCTCTGATTGTATTATTATGAATTTACATTCAAAAATCAATTTATCCAAATATTGCGTGATTGAGACGGTAATTGGTCGTAAAACATAATATAATAATTGTTCGATATTAGGATTGGGTCATGGACTTGAATCGGGGTATTCATAATAGATCGACCCAATTAGAAAATGCTTATGGGGCATGACTCTTGGAGGAGTCTTTTACCATGCAAATGATGTGTCTGTTAAACTACTAACAAACATGTTTCTCTCCAAACCACCTATATTGATTGCTTATATAAACCTTATATCTACCAATGAACATTAGCAAAAAAACTCCTACCGATAAAACTCTCTTACTCTCTTTATCTCTCTGCATACATAACGTTAAAAAATATTTGTGTTGTGAAAATACAGTGTTAATTCCTCTTTTACAACAACACTATACTATTCGAGCAATCAAAGAAAAGACATTTTTCGAATTCTAAAGAAATGTTGAACATCCTCGTGTGATTTGGGATTAAATTGAATAAGGTATATATTTGATCATATGCTTTTGCATAACTTTTTGAATACCAGCAATAAGTTTCAAAGAGGGAAGAGGCACATATCAACACTACAAAACATTAAACATACTTAAGACATTGTATATTGTAATTATTTCATGTATAAAATTACATATGCTTCAACAAAAGCAAAAAAAAGAACAAAAGAAAAGAAAGAGAAGGTTGAAGAGCAAGACTTGCATGCATCTCCATTTACACATATAACAAAGCTCTAAACACATCATCCAACATAAGTCTTCATGGCTTTTTCATGTCTTTGCTTGAGGAACACGTGGTTGAACCAAGAGTGTGATAGTTTATGTATCTGCTAGGAGCAGAAGAGTGGTGAAAACCTTTCGGCAAACAAGTCTCGACATCCGGGCCTTGAAAAGCACCATGTCCGTGCTTTGTTTGGGGCTTGAATGCCACTGTCTCTCCAGAATTTGGTCCCAATGGCCTCATGGCAGCAGCAATGCATATGGTTTTCGGTCCATCGGAGATGAGCACCGGAGGAGAGAGCAGGAGGAGGAAATGGAGAATGGCCATGAAGAGGTGAGTACCAGCCATTTGAAAATTGTGTTTGACTAGTTCGTAAGGGTGTGTTTGGAGGTTAAAGAGCAACAAAAGGCCTTAAATAGGCTCGTGATGACAGAGAAGAGAGTGAGAGAAGTCCAGCTCATATCCTTGCATGCATGCTTTGTTGTAATACTAGTAGTTGTGAAGTGAGTTGGCGATTTCGACTTTTGACAATGCAGGTGAGAATGCTCGTGTTCTTCATTACTAGTTCCTACGTTTCTTTTGTCAAAGTCAAATTCCCATTAGTTCTCCATATGGTTGTATTTCTACATTGTAATAATTAGTTAACTTAATTTGACGAAAAGAGAATACATTATTACGATATACGTCACAAGTTTAAGTTTGACAATCAAACTTTTCAAAATAAGAATAAAGGTGTTTATCATTTATTTTTCTTAAAAATAAGCTATGGATGCGATGTCATCCAGTGTAACACTTGTTGAAATTTGTGGTTCATACTAATGGGACAATTGTAATAGATGAAATGGTTAATAAGTGAGAGAGAGAATGTTGAAATTTATAATATAAAACATGGTATGTTTCAATTAATATATTTGACGGTCTCAAATATATTCATTCAACGGTCATCAACATTCCCTAACACCATTCACATTATACTGTACTTTCAGACACAAATTACCCATAAGTAGGTATTAAAACTAATCTTGATCACATTAGTATGTTAATTAATATGGACTACCATTGATGGATAGGATTATTGTGAGGTTAATCCAGAATTTAGACTCTAATTAAATCTATTGCTATTATAAAATAGGAAAAAAAAGGGTTTGAAATACCTATGCCACCACTATGATCTTCCTATCTCTATCATCAATCTCTACAATTCTCTCACTCTATACACCCATTAGTCAATTTTAAGAGAAAAGAAAGCAAAAGAAAGGAAAAGTGAGTGTGGGAATTAGGCGAAGTCAATCCAATCACCTTCACTATGACAGAAGGAAGGACATGATTTGGCCACGTGGAGGTAGTAGCTTACCTGTATGGCAAACCCCCCGCCCCCCAAAAGTCACCATTTACACGTCATCCCTATGACCTGTTCATGTCCCGATCGTGCCACGTGTTAACGGTCAAAGATCCATCTACCAGACGTATCAAGTAATCCCAACGTACGAGATCTCAACCACTACTCTAAATCTTGTATTTGAAGCTTGATAAAGTTGCACCTGTTTTTCCGTTTTGGATGTCTATAAGGTCAGTATCCAGAACACAGGGTTGAATAAAATCACGTGGAAACAGTAACTATAAGTTTATAACAGTCCGAACCCCTTGTAATACATTTCACTTAATGTTAGTAGATGTTTTAACACTAACTTAACTTTGAAAAAATTTCAGTCACGCCCTTTTTAATTTACTACATCTTCAATGACACTATTTCTATTATTCAAAACATCATTGACACTCATTTTAGTTTATATTTAAACATCATTGATATCCCTTGTTATTAAACAATTGTTTCTGATAAAAAAATATCTAAAATATTAAAATTACACCTGAATAAATCCTAAACAATATTTCTACATAAACTTTGATTAAAATTTAAGTTGATTAAAATTTATTTTTTAATATATTAACATTCAAACTGACTAAAATTTATTTTTTTACATATTAAAATTTAAACTGATTAAAATAAAATTCAAGATGATTACATTTTATTTTACTTTTTACATAATAAAATTTGAGTCTATTAAAATTAATTTTTTAAGTGTTAAAATTTGAGCCGATTTAAGCTCTACTTGAACTATTAGAGCCGATTAAAATTCGTTTCAATTCGATTAAAATTTATAATTTTTTACTTATTAAAATTTGATTTAAGTTGATTAAAATTTATTTTTTTACGTATTAAAATTTGAGTCAATTAAAATTCAATGTGAACTAATTAAAATTTGATTTGAGTCGTTTAAAAATTTTAATCGACTCGAATAGAATTTTAATTGGCTCAAATTTTACTACGTAAAAAATATAATTTTTAATCGATTCGAATAAAATTTTAATCAATTCAAATTTTAATATGTAAAAAAATATAATTTTTAATCAATTTGAATTTTAATACATAAAAAAAATGCAAAAACAAATGGAGTCTCATTGAAAATATATCTATCTAGAGGAGGTGGGGATAAAATTTTCTTAAAATATATTATGAATAATTTAATAAAATTATATTATAATTAATACCTTTTATCCGGTAGAAGATGTCAATAAAGATTCAGAAAATACAAAAAAATATAGTTAAAAATATAATAAACTAGAGGGGCGTGACTAAAATTTTCCCTTCAACTTTTATTAATTGTATTTCATTGAGAATCGATCCGTATAATTCGTCGACATAAATACCCCAGACTAGAATCCTTTTTTTCTCGACCAAAGCCACCAGCACCGGCGGAGCTAACTTGGGGCCATGTGGTCTACCCTCAACTTTTATATATATATTTTTCATATTTTATGTGCATATTTGTCTATTTATTAAACATTCCACAAATTTATACCGTGTTTAATAATGATAGAATTTTGGAGTGGACTGTTTATCCTAAATCTAAATCATCTAATGGGCCTAACATTTGCATGACGGCCCAAGAGACCTCTCCACAACCCCTCTGCGTTGCAATAAGGAATGAGCCAAAATCTAAAAAATAGAGTCTAGCAAAAAATCTAGCTTGGCACAGTCCTGCTTGGTTATAACAAGCTCAGTGGTAAGCAATCCAGTAGCAAGAAGCTTGGTATTCACCAGACCTCGAACACCTCATATCGCGCCACGTGTCCAGGGGACAACCTCTGGAGCTTTTAACAAACGTGTACTCATTAGTAAAAGAAATATTTGTGCACATTTCATTAAAGAACTGTAGATATGACTAGTGTCAGGGTAACGGTTATCACTAAAAGACAAAAAAGAAGGGATTATAAAATCAGCCGAAGGAAGGAGAAGATAAAAAAAAACCTAGATAACCCATTGTATAAATAGAACATCATCACACTATATAAGAGATATCTGGAAAAACCTTTACTCACAAGGCAGTCTTCAAGAAAGCTCTAAAGCCAAGAAACTGACAGTAATCTTTTTCTTCAAGTAATATAAACCCTTCGGAATAAGAGCCTCCATTATAGTGAACGTAGCCTTGACTTTTTGATTAGGGTATATCATTTATATATTGTCATTGATCTCATATATTTTCTCTGTTAGCTTCGAACATTCATATTACCCATTTCCTATCTTCTAAATCAGTGACCTGGACTTGGGCCGAGTATTTTTGGCCCATTCGTGTGTTTTTGTATATACACACTTACATGACCAGGGGTGGCGTTAAGCTGGGTTCTGGGTGGGCAAGTGCCCCCTCTCAAGTTTTTTATTTTTTTTTATTATCTATGTATATATATAATATATCACTTGTCCTCGCCCAAAACTAAAGGCAAAAGTTCTAGACCCACCACAACCTACAGAAACCGTCTTACCATTTATCGACCATTAGACACGGCCAAATGAGTCTCTTCGAAGTTATGTGCAATGTTTCAATCAGGAAATTTTTAAAGCGGAGAGTATTGATGATATATATATAGTCTTATTTTATATATAAATATAGATAGATATGAGAGAGATTATTATTGTTAATCATACTATTATTTTTATTGAGTATGTTACTATTTTTGCTGAACATGTTATTATTGTTATTTTTTAAAAATATTAATATTGAATGTTAGCTTTTTTTATGTTTAAATGTTACTATTTTTTTTAAATAGTATTATTTTTTATGTTTAAATGATAACTACGTTTTTTGTATTGGAATGTTACTCTCTCTCTCTATATATATATATATGAGAGAGAGAGAAAATTTTTTAATGTTAATCAAATTTTTAAAATTTAGGAGTGTTTAATTTATAGTTTTGCTTCACTTCTAAAAATAAGAGATAATTTAATAAAATTGACAAAAAAAATGAACTTCATAATAAAAAAGTTTCTTTAACGGACTGAAGTTCAAACAAGTCTATATAGGAACACCGACCTCTAAATTTTCTAATTAAAAAAACCAAGCCCACTTAAAAAAAAATTGGGGTCCACCACCATTTAAACAAAAGACTCAAAGTGAGTACAAAACCAGATTGAATGCATCTCAATTCTTTTTTTCTTAATATTCTCTATATGTATTTTAAATGTTTTTTTTAATATTTTTAATAATGTTCACCCTATTTTTTGGCACATCAATTAGTGTACACTTATATCAAATGAATATAAAATTTTTGACACATTTTCGACATGTTATGTACCTATCTAGATAAATTTAAAGCATTGAGACTTAAAGAACCTCGTCCGATGAGATTATCAATTGATGATTATGATATTTTCTAACGACTATACAATTGGTGACTTGTTTTTATTTGAAACTTGGTGGGTCGACGACAACACTATCATATGGCTTTTTAGAATTCCAGGCCTTTGTCCCATGGTTTTTTCCTTTGTTTGGGTTGTTTTCATGCTTGAATAATGTTTTAGTGACATATGATTTGTGATTGCCTTGCAACTGCATGTTAATAAGCGTTTTTTCTTGTATTGGGATTTTCTGTTGTTTTTTCATATAACAATTAACATTTATGGTTTTTGTATTCTTGATTTGAGCATGCAATAAATTTTACCATTGCTTGCATGTGGCCTATACTATTTGTAAACTAGTAAGGCACGACATGCGTTGCATGTAAATAAATTTAAATAATATTATTTTTATAGAAAATATGAATTATATGTATAATTAAATTAAATAATAAATTAGGTGTCAAATAATTAATTCATATTTATTTTATAAGTTTTTAAATACCTAATTTGTCATTTATTTATATATATCTTCGACACTTTTAAACATTTGTATATCTAATTATACTAGCAATGCACGACGTGTGTTGCACGTAAACAAATATAAATAAATTTTTTATATAAAAAAATTGATTAGACCACTTATAATATTTTTATATTATAGTAATATATTTGA